ACCGCGACGCTTTTACACTTTTTATTCCCCCGCCCCCCACTAGATTGACAAGTTAGGCAAAGGCTGGCAGGGCGATCCATCGTCGGCGCTGTTGGAACTGCTGGATCCGGAGCAGAATGCCAACTTCCTGGATCACTACCTCGACGTGACGGTGGACCTCAGCCGGGTGCTCTTCATCTGCACGGCCAACCAACTGGAGACCATTCCGGATCCGCTGCGTGATCGAATGGAGATGATTGAGGTCTCCGGGTATGTGGCCGAGGAGAAGATGGCCATTGCACAGGTTGGTGTATTGACTATCACACAAACAAACAAAATGTTTACTTAATGCTCTGTGTGTGAGTAAGCATATGAACTGTTATAACGGAGCCCAGGCCGAGATATTACCGTGTAATGCGTCGCCAAATTGTTGTAACGGATGCCAGGGCCAAAATATTCGCCGTCTAACTACGCCTCATGTGAGACCCCAAAGAGATAACACAACAGGAAGTGTGCAGAAAGCGGAAGCCTTCGCAAGCAGTAGTTTGCAAACCATAGCCGCGTCCACAATAGGCTATCGATCGGCCTATGCGCGAGTTAACACTTCGAGCTAGACAATCAGTCGATAGTTTGGATTTCTAGCTACATTCACTCACTGAGTCAACAGCCAATGGGACTGGTCACTACCTCAGGAGAGAAAGTGCACCTCAGTGAGCTCACCTTAGGTCAGCGAACATCCCCAAACTTACACGCGCTCGCCATTGGTCCAGTGGGGATTAGTAATCATGTTAAAACCGTTGAAAGGTATGCTTACTGAACAGAAAGATGTAGATTTTCATTTTTAGGCCTCACTAATCATTTTTCCCAAAATCTGCTTTGCTAAAAAAAGTAATAGCTAGATTGATACGATGCAGAGAGATAGGACCGCGATGTTGATGAGAACGTGTGAACATTCAGAACGCTCCTTGTCTTCGAAGAGATCATATAACAGTCAGACCTACTCCCGACAACCATCACGGAGGTGAGACAAGGGGCGGGGGGCTCATCGCGCGGACAACAGGGTCGAAACGAAGAGGGGTCAGTAGAGATTACGACTCGTCGGCGATGCGACCTTGCGAACTGCAGCGTCCACTGGCAAGCTGGTGAAAAAAAAAACAGAAGAACCTGCCACTATCTTCACCAGAGACCGCCTAAGTCCATTACGGACAGGGTTGCAAAACGGCGATCAGTTGGCATACCAGTGCCACCGGTGGTTACCACTTGTCGACGGTCAAGGTCATTCACTACCTGCTTGGCAGTGCGACATTTGTCCAGGGCCCGTTTAGGATGCCAGGTTTCGGTCAGGCCATCTCGGTTGGTACTAAATTCACGTGCCTCACGTGTTCTTCTTACAACCCATAGACTCCTGCGTATGTGAAATCCGACGAGAAAACGAGCTCCTGTGGCTCGTGTATACCTGGCTGACGACAGCTACTAAGGCATAAGTGGCCATCCCAGTCTGCCTTGCCTTTGCTCGCAGTACTACAAACCCACAGTAACCTGCATACTGTCCAAGTAGGATTTCTTAAGCAGTCAATCTATGATCCTCCAGATGACTGTAAAGCGTACTTGATGTTATTTCACTTTTCTCTGTGTGTACTGAACAGTGACTTTGTTGCTGTGTTTTGAGGTTGATGTGCCGATTGAATCTGCTATGTGCCTCTTTTTCGCAACCATGTGTCTTATGCTTGGCCGAATCGCAGTTGATAAGCCCTTGACGACATTTGTTGGTTCTGATAACTTCTGCTATCCACACACGATTCATATGAGGAAGCAAGTGCTTCAATTTGCTTTTCTCCGCTCCCACTCTGTGTCCCCGCTAGCGCTACCTCCTGCCACAAGCTGCCGCGGCCTCTGGGCTTACATGTGAACAGGTCAACCTCACAGACGATGCCCTCCAGCGTCTCATCCGCCAGTACTGCCGTGAAAGTGGAGTCCGAAATCTACAGAA